AACATTTAAATTTAGTCATTTTAAACATAAATCCAATAGCATATCTTTTATGATACATTGAGTAATCTTCAGTGCTATGTAATTAACTCCCTAAATATGAAAGTATGTGAAACTTAAATTAGGAATTATAGCAAATCATTCCATAGAAATATGCTGTGCTGTATTAGTCTAGAAAGGATCAATTATGTGTAAATATTGTAGTAGGCATGTCAAGTAACAATTTGTCAACAGTATAGATATCATTAATTTAAAGGAGATAATTACGATATGTGTGGCTTTTGTTTTAGCATAGTTTTGCTCCTGTTACTTTTAAGCTAAAAATATCACTTGAAATAAATTTCTTTCTAAAATCAGAGGGATATTATTAACAATTCTTCTTTATAAATATAAAGTTTATCCTTTATATATGTATAAATAATTGAAATACTTAAATTTGACATTCTAATAAATATTTTATTATAACTTTCTGAAAAATTGAATTTCTTTTAAAATGTATAAAAATGAATTAAATCCTGAATTTTTTCCAGTTTTATGATAATAAAATTTTAGAATCATCAGTTTGTATATCCGTATATATTATAAGGAAGTATCTCATTCTTTTTTGAGGGCTCTTGTGATGTAAGTGATAGTAGATCAGACTAGCAGTCGGAAGGTCTGCAGTTCGTATCTGTGCGAGAGCATAGAGGATTTTTTGTATTTTCTCCTCAGAAAAACTGAATGTATGGAACCGTGATAGACGATAATTCATGAACACATGAATTAGGCCGATAGAGTCTTGTGCTTCTCTTTTGCCCTATAAGAGGGAAAAAATAATGAATTATGCCATTCTCCCTAACTTGCTACAAATGGATGTTCTTCCAATTAGAATTTGGAAGACCTTTGTTGGTAGAAGAATAATGACAGCACTGCTGAATTTTCACATTTCTTGCTTCGAAAAAAATCCAAGGTCCGCCTATTATTCCGCCTTTCACAAATTTTTCAAATTTACTTTTTCTGGTATCGCTTTTCCATTACAGTATGTTGATAGGTGAAACAACCCCATAAAATGTTTTTTACTTAATTTACGTTCAAGTTACTTTAAAACACAATTTTCGGAATTAAACTTCGTACATATGGGTTCCCTCTTTTTTGATACTTCTAGTAAATTTATATTAGGAGATAATATAATCAATATTTCTTTAGTAAATAAATTATTATCTTACTTCGCGCAAGTATTAGAAAAACTTGTTTTTGAGCTAAGTGAATTTTAGATCATTCAACATTATACCTTAGAGAGTATATCTTTTCTAATAGATTTCATATTGCTTGAATTTTGAGGGAAAAGAAAAGTCAAGATTTCTAAAAAAAAAAAAAAAAGTACTTTCCTCCGTTCAGTGCTGTATCTCTTTACTGACGAATTAACACCAATAGATAGGCTGTTTTCTCTTGAAAGTTTGGCCTTTGTGTAAACGATTAGGGGAAACCGGAAAAGCAATAAAATAATTTTTCACTCATGAATTGGCATCTTCAAGAAGCATCGACTCCCAGTGAGTAAAAGCGACCATCTGGGAAGATGTATTTTATTTTAGTATAAAATGGTTTGCAAATCCAAATAACATTAATTTAGAGGAAGTTTTATGGATGCAATATATAATTCTTAGATAAAAGTATAAGAGTAAGTAAAATGGGACGATGTAGAGTGTTTTTTTGCTACTTTTAATTTTTAGAATAGGGCCCCAAACATATTACCGTCAAACCTGTATTTAGATTTGGTAACTTTACTAAAGCACGCGATATCTATCTTCTAAGATAGAAATATCCCACTTCCGGCAACTTTCTAAGGAAAGCTTACATGCATTTAGGTTTACATATAGAGAAAAATCATGAAAATTCCATGCAGCTGATCTATTCTGTCTCTGAAAATAGAAGCTTCAAGAATTGATAGTGTTGTATTGCTTCAGTGACTAGATTTCTCACTTTGATTTTGGAATTAGAAATATAATTACAAAGATCTCAACTAGAGGAGATCATAATTCATTATTTTTTTTCACACATATAAAATCTGGTTAAATATGTTTCCTCATTTATAAATTACAGAAGTTTTTTTTCAATAATTCCTGATATTTTAAAGGAAAATTTTCATGTATTTTTTTTTTTTTTTTTTCTTGTAGCAGATTTAAATAATCGTTGATTGAAACCACACTAATTTTAACTAACAATCTGAAAATAACACAAATGATGTGAACTCTTTCATAATTCATATATTACTCATTAGCATTAAAAAAAAACTTAACTTGGGTTTAAGATTTCCTCAGAAGAGTTTTTTTTTAAAATTTTTTAATTTAGATGCCATACAGTCTGGTAATACATATCTAATAATACATAATAATAAGTCTGGTTATATTACAGCCATATCAGTGGCCGATAAAACCACTAAATATTAGTTGTTCGATTTGGATTCAAACTCAGACGAATGAATGCAATGGCTGTATGGTATTTTTCCATGTATAACATGAGTATGAGCTATTCGTTAGAAAGTCCTCTATGAAGGCATCTTTCTCCTTAAAAGCAGATAGTCCTCATGTGTTTTGCTGCTCATGTGTTTTGCAAATAAACCTAGCCTTCAAACTACTGCACCTATCACTCTAAATCAAGATGAAAGTTTCCTAAACAAGATTTTTCAACTGGGCTGTAGGGGTTCCAGTGGCCAATCGCTAAAACCGCTGAATGTTGGTAATTCGACATGGTTTCAAATCCTGATGAACACGCTTGTTCTATGAAAGTTTTCCAGGGTTTTTCTACGTTCAGTGTGGATGAGATTTAGTTCCCCTTAGAAATTCCCTCCATGATAGTTTCAGTCCTCTTGCGCAGATTCCAAATCCATTAAATTTTCTTTATTAAATATAATTATAATTCTTTCTTTTTAGAGAAATCGCAGGGAAAAAACTGTAAACATCAAATCAAGTGCGATTACGAATATTTTAAAATAGTTAATATTTTGAGTGGGAAAGCTTTTTTAATACGTTCATAAGCAACTGAAAATTAGGGGAAGAAAAAAATTTTAAATTGGCATGAAATTTTGTCGATTTCTAAAACAATCTATATAAATGCATTTTCAAAAACTTCTGCTGAAATATGAAGAGTTGTATTTGTAAAGCATTTATTAGTGAGATCTGTAATTATATACTCAGCTTTTAGTTTTCATAACTTCCATTTTTCCCCTCTCTCAGTCTTACCAATATTTCTGTATAGATATAGAACATAATTAAATATTGATAATGAGTATCATAGATAGTGGAGGATATAGAATGAGCATCACAATATATAATTATGTTTGTCGCAAAAACAGCCACTTTGATAAATGAACATAACTGTTGGGAATCACATATAAATGTCACATACATGCTTTATAATACCAAGAATGTTATAAAAATGAGGGTTACTTGATATCAACATTTACCAAACTTTCCAAAATGTTTAAAAATATAATATCTAAGAGTCGGCAAGTTAAAAAAATTTATGCATTTCAATCATGGTGTTTTTCGCTATAATCAGAAGCTCGTCATCGATATTTAGACTGTTTCTCGATAAGCTACCGAGTTAAAATTTTGTATTCACACCATTTACGGGTGGAAATACGGCGTGGTAAACTGAGTTTTATAAAATTCGATTTAGAGGTCTTAAAATTTAATGTTGAAAAAATTTTTTGTGCATATTTCCATTTAAAGAATAAACTAAAAATCTCACAGATTTTAAGTTTGCATCGCTTTTGAAATTTTTCGAATTTGCATAAAGTTAATATAATTTCTGATTTTGGGCGAATTTTTAAAACTTTATACTTTTATGAGGTAAGAGGAATTTGGGAAGTAAAAGACTGAACCAGAAGGAGAAAAATAATTTGTTGTACAGATTAATGGGAATAAGAGCCCCTTTGAAAAATTCCTGTACAGTTTTATAAGAAGAATAATAGATTCTTAAATAACAAAATCAAATAATCGAATCGCATTGTCAAAAGTATAAGATTTATAAATTTATCAAGAGAGCTGTACGTTTTTTTATTATTTGTGATATAAATTTGTAGAAATTTTTTTAAAGAGAATTATTTAATCACGTGTCCCAATAAATTATATAATACATTATTTTTCTCATTTTAATTCATTAATAATTTTATGAATCATAAATAAAAGTTTATTTTGTAAAAACTTGTTGATTTTATTCAATAATTGTTCTAAAATGGAAATTCTTAATTCCTTTTATATATACATTCACTGGTAATAAATTTGTTTCCTTAGAGTTAGTGTAAAGCCTTTATCTCAAAACATCAAGAAGACTTCTTCCCGCGCTAATGACAGCCATTACCCATTGTCGTCAGGGGTGTGTGGACCCTTGTCCCCTTAGGCAATGGGGGTTGGAAGACGTAAAAAAATATGGGCTAGTCATTTTTGGCGTATTTTTTTTTTTTTGCTATTTCAAAAACAAGGGACGATCCTTTTCGAGGGTACATTTAAACTAACAATAATCTGTAATGAAGCATTAAGAGACCTGCATAAAAGAACGAGAAAATACGGGTCAAACCGGTAAAGGGTTAAGGATGGCTCATGAAAAGTTAGTTGCTATGTGCATTGTCCAGACTTGAAATCCCTTTCCTACACGAAATTGTATATGTGCTTGAACTTGTGAAACATCTGTAGTTTATCGCAGTGTGTAGTAATTATCCATGCATCCCTTGTATTAACATAAATTTAAACTAGTTTCTCTTAAAAAATCCTTCAATCTTTCCTAGGCAGATAGCCATCAAGTTTTTGTAAACCATAATTTGCCATTTATGTATAATATGCTTAATAGTAAAACATAATTGTAAATAAACATAATTGTTTTTTTTTTAGCAGATCAACATTATGCTACTGTTTGCTATTCAGTTGTAATAATGATGAAGTTGTACTTCATTGATTTGGATTTGTTGCTAAAGTGTTTACAAAGATTTAGAGATATTGTACCTCTTGTTTCTTGTTCTTTTTTAGATTTAATGGAAAATTGGGATGAAGCAAAATTAAAAGAGGTGGTAGAGAAAAAGCATGGTGAAACTGATCGTAAAATGCCTAAAACAGATATAGTAAGTTTGAATTTTCCTTGTTTTTTACTTTCTGCTTGTTACCAGGTCCTAAGCTAATTAGTTAGATTTTTCTCTTCTAATTTAAAACATGACTTAAAATATTGTGAGGTTTCTTTACTTATTTGTTTCCCATATGATATATTTATTTCCAATTAGTAGAAATAGCTTCTTTTGTGTTTCATTTTATGTTCATATATATATGTGTGTGTAATAATATGTTCATATATATATATGTGTGTGTAATAATCGTACATTTTGGCGGAAAATGAAAACAATTCACTTTTAGTCATGGCCGGAAAACTCCTGCGTAGATTACGGCTTGGTGGATGATCGCATGGTATTTGTAGAAGCACGACCAGCTTGATAGCTAAACATCATTTATTTTTGAATGACAAATTTCTTAATACATAACTGTACAAGACTAGGGATGCTGAATGCACCCCATACTTTTAGATATGCAGTTACATTTTATATAATGGCGAATATCTAGCAGAGGCTGAGCTACAAGCTGTCAGCATGCAGGCAAAGAGGTGAAAGAGAGAGAAACTACGCAGTTATTAACTATTTATACAAGATAGGTGCACAAAGTACAGCTAAACTGCGATTGGTTAAATTTTGGGTTTCAGTTCTATTTACATCATTAGAATTAGATTTTTCTGGAAATGACCCAGTGCAAAGAGAGGTTACTATTTTTAGATTTGAGAAAGGAAATTTATGTTGCTAATTTAATCTTTTACATATTCTTTAGTTTTCTTACATATGTATATATATGTAATAATAGGAAGGAAAAGTCGGAGCAGCATTGATGCATAGTAGCTATATAGGATATATCCTAGATCCATATTGAAGAGGAAGAATTCTGATTGTGTAGTATGCTAATAATGTTGACTTTGTGATGTATACACAATTTGGCAGTCAAGTCAGTTTTAATTCCATTTTTATTTGCAACTGACATTTGTGGCTACAGTTCACTTGACACTCTAGTTGTGCCTATTCAATAACATTTACATTTTTGATATTATTGCAATAGGAAGCGAGCGCAGCAAGCTTGCTTACAAGCACTGCACAGACCGATGCTAAAGTGCGTAGTTATTCAATATGGAAGCACATGAAGAAAAAGGTTTGAGTTAGAGTTAAAAGTTTCAGTTCCTAATTATTATGTTATCAGCGCTGTGCAGGCCATACAAAATGGAATGATCTAGAAATAGTGCAATCCAGAGAAATTATTACGATTTTGAGAACAGAGAAGGAGAATTAAAGAGAATAGGGGTTAGTTTAAATTAAATTTTGATTTACATATTTTTCATCTTGCATCCCCTTCAAAAAGATAAAGGCTTGGTGATAGAAAAGTCTTTTTAGAAAAAAAGCATTAAAGCAGTAGCGAAACAAAGGAAAATACAATTATGGTGGTGGTGGTGGTGGGGGGGGAATCACAGAATTTTGATCTAAATCATTTTTTAAAATAAAATCTTGTAGACATCATTTTTAACAATAAATTCAAATTGAAAATTCTATTGAAATTTAAAAGTCTTCAAGTCAATTTTTCTGTGAAAATACTGTAAAAATGTGCGAATTTTTCAAACAATACCTGGAAGAATTCACAGTCCTTTAAAATCTTTGCTTGAATATCAATCTAAATCAATATTTCGCAGTCCTGAGCTTGAAAATCTTCCATAAAAATTGTTGTCAATATAAGACCAAAATTTTCTTTTACAGATTCATGAAATTTGAATTAATTATTTATAAAATATTCACATTTTTTTAATTGTAAAGCAATGTAAAATGGAATTTAGAACTTAATACATAACAAAATTCAGTACAACGATAAAATAAACTTTGACAGAAATGGGCAAATCCTCTAGAATTCAAATCACCATTACATCTTGCTGATGGCTGTGAGATGTTTAAATACAGTTACACATAGAAGACTCCATTCCTTAATAAAGGCAACTGGCCTCTAGTATTGTATAATTTTTAAAGTTTTTATTTATAAATTAATGGCCATAAAAATCTTCAAACTAGTTAATTGAAATGGGAAAAAATACAAATATTAAAATGTTAGACATATAAAATTCTACACTGCCTTAAAATAATACCTGGACCATATACTTCTCTGAATATAAAATAAGAAAATAAATTTCATAATTATATCTGTTTAGGGAAGGCATTTAAAACTTTTCATTATTTGCTGTTTTATTCTTAGGGATGTAAAATGTGCAATGGTAATCAATTTATTGTCCAGGGTTTACAAATATTCTACATTGTGAGTATGCTTTTAATTTTATTTATAAGTATGTAATATGAATTTGTAACTGTTCTTCTATGAACACAGATGCTGGCTAGCTATATAAGTATTTACTAACAGAGCACAGGAACAGTTACAAAGAAAATGTACATCAGAACAGAACATAGATTGAAACAAAACATCTAACATTTAGTAGAATTAACATTTAAAATCATATTAGAATTACGGAGACATAATAACGAAGAACCTGTCCTCATTGTAGCTGTAGGTCAACTGATTGCAAGTTGTTCTCTTAGCTACTAGATTGCATTCGATAAAATAGTTCAGTTACAGTCAAATAGTTCTATTAAATCCTCCTCCTCTGACTTCTTGGACATCTCGAAAAGAAGTCAGGAACTGACATTTGTCTAGTTGCAGTAGATGGAGAAAAAGGTGGATGGGTAAAGCATCAGTTTTAAGCCATTGGAAAGCAGTTAACTATTGTCCTTCATTTTCTCATATTTGGTAATTATTTACAACATTTTGGGTTTCTTCCAATCCTTTGGATTGATGTGGTTTCACTATATTTTCTTCAAGGTTCATTAGAAAAGTTCCACTTATTTTCTGAAAAAAATTAACAAAATTTTACCTTTTTGAAGAAAGTTGATTCCTAGCAGAGTGGAGTTATTTTTGGCATCAGGGTACACAAAGAAGTAGAGGTTTGAATTCGCTGCCTTCAAGAAGAATACTTGTTATTTGACGTGAAGTGCCTCTTTTTCAGTTATAAAACCATGATCGAAAGATATCTGTAGTGTCGTGTTTTCAGATACTACTTCATTGCTTCAGAATATGGTAGAGTGATTCACTTGCTATTGAGTGGTTAACACCACTGTCGTCGAAAGGCAACATCAGAAACACCTCCAATATTAATTCGGAATACAGCAGTCTGCATGGAAAAGAAACAGGATTGGATTTGTACAATGACAAAATTAGATGCTTTGTGGGATTACAGTGTGGACACTTAGACCTGATAAAACCAGTCTTTCCACACCCATAGTATGTAAAGGAGGTCAGTTTTCTTGTCTGTGCTGCTCACCATGATTTTAAAAGTTTTTACTAGTTCAATTTTCTACATTGGTTTTGGATGGATTAGTCATTTTAAAAGAATAATTCCACTGTGCAGGGGCTTGATTTTTATAGTTTGCATTTTTAACACGTATAGCTTCGTAATCATCCGATTTCTGTACTAATTCAGAGGAATTCTTTGTTTTTCACCAGATGTCAACAAAATGCTCCTTAACAGCATTACTAACCTCTTTTAAGCAGGTCCATAAGTACCAAGCCTTTGAGTGATTCAAAGTCTGTAATATTGAAGCTCTATTGCAAATCTTCTAGATAAGTGCTTAATTCATAAGCTAAGTCTTTCCATAAGGTCCAGGCTATGGGGTAAGTTTGATTCGAAATGATTCATAATTTAATTTGAATCTTTGAAGCAGAATTTTCTATATGTACAAATAATCTTCTAATTTGTCCTTCGGTTCTCTTAAAATAATTTGCGAAAATGTCTATAAGCAGAAGAGGTAGTAGTTGAGTAATGTAATCTATTTTTTTTACATTAACTTTCTCAAATTGCTTTTCAAAAATCTGCAGGTAGGCCAAGAAAAACCGTCTCTTACTCTGACTGAGAATCAAAAATAATAAATTCTAATCAACAATATCAGTGAATCTATTCAAAATGTTATCATTAAAATATGCATTCAGTTTGCTAATAGAATTCATAATTTGATTTGGTATGCACATGAAAATATTTTAGAATAACAAATTAACAAAAATTTGAAAGTATGAGAATTGAAGCTAATAAATTCTAATCAACAATATCAGTGAATCTATAAATCTGATTTCATTAAACAATAATTTAAAAGAAACTTATCTGTGTGGCCATTTGAAAGCTGCTCCCTTTGCCTTCTATGACCCCATTTTTACATCAGTGTATGATTTCAAAAATTGTGACCAGTATTTTATACCTGAAACGAGATTGAGCCGATCACCAGCAATCAAATCTTAAATTCGTCAAATCTTAAATCTTAAATTCGTCAAATCTTAAATCTTAAATCAAATCTTAAATCTTAAATAAAATTTAAAAGCCAAACTGAAATTCTCGGAATTTCATTGGAAGTAATTTTGTAAACAGCAAATCTAAGCATTTCGTTGGGTGTCATTTTGTAAACAGAAATTCTAAAGCTTTTGTTGGGTGCCATTTTGTAACTGTTCTTCTATAAACCCAAATGGCAGCTACCTCTAAAAGTATTTATTAACAAAGCATTGGAACGGTTACCAAGAAAATATACATCAGAACAGACCATACATTGAAACAAAACACCTAAAATTTAGAATTAACATTAAAAATTGGCATTAGAATTATGGAGACATGAGGAACCTATCTTGTTTGTAGCTGGAAGTCAGCTGACTGTATAAGTTGTTCTCTTCCCACTAGATGGCTTTTGATAAAATAGTTTGGTTACATTCAAATAGTTCTGTTACACATTGACCTATTAAATTAAGTTTGATGTTTCATAAATAAAGAGAAAAAAATATAATGTACAGATTTTTAATTCTTATTTTAATTGTATAAATCTGGATTCCTATATATAAATAAAAATGAATAAAAATGTTGGTAATATGTCTTTGAAGATGTGTCTTTTTACAAATATTTTGAAAAAAAAAAATAGGTTTTTTAGTTTTTTTTTTTTTTTTTTTTTTTTTTTTTTTTTTTTTTTTTTCATTAGGCTTACTTGTTTTTTTACAAGTAAGCCTAATGGAAAAAAAAAAAAAAAAAAAAAAAAAAAAAAAAAAAAAATTCAATGCTCTAATGTTATGGGTCTACTGAAAAAATTAATGCTTATTATGTTAAGAGCTAAATGCTTAACAGTATCTAATAGGCTTACTATTGATTTATTTTTCAAAGTCTTTTGCATTATTATCCTTAATGACCAAAATATCAGAAAATCATAATGAAGTAATTTGTAGACTAATATTTGAGTCGAGTTGAACGTATCCAAATTCGAATACAGGTATAAATCGGAAACCTCAGATGTCTCAAAAGTGTATCACAAGGCAAAAATACAGTTTGAGGAGTTTTTTTTTTTTTTTTTTTTTTTTTTTGTCCAGTAGTAAAGCTGTTAAAACAAGAATAATTTTATTATTTAGTTATTTGATTTTAAAAACTCAAAACACTTTTAAGTTCTCAAGGGAAACCTTGGTGTGCGTAGAGAGAAATAGTTTTACTATTTATACATTCAAGAACACTCAGCTAACAATAGATTGTCCTCATACCAATACTACGAGGGTTTTGAAACTAGGCAAGTCAAAGACAGTGATGACACAGATAACATACGTGCTTTTTTCTGCTTATGATTTATGTGAATGTGATGGTTGTTAACATCGCACACAACCTTCCTATTAGTAGGTTTAGATTTCTTATATGAAATTTTGCAGTTTTGTCAAATTCATTTTAATTGTAGTATTAATGAGAGTGACAATGCATTAAAGTTATCTTTATATAGTACAAAGTCTTTAATCCGGCCAGACTTGTCGGGACTTTGGCGATTTCGGATTATAGATCATCAATTTAAATCTGGTAAGATGGCATGCGAAATTATAAAATTAAATATATGAAACCGTAATTTATGAAATAAAGAGGGAAAAAAAAAAAAAAAAAAAAAATCTGAAATGTTTCAGATTTTAAATTACGTCCAAAGGGGCGTTTTTTAACATTTTGTGTGTTACCTTTCTTTATTAAATATCATGTTCCTCGCACTTAAACCATAAGATCCAGTGCAACAGCAATATCGCAAAATAGTTTTAAAACGAGCATATCTTTAGAATTTCCGATACAGAGACTCACGCGCTGGAGATAAAAATGTTTTTTCTGCACAACTTGCCATTGCTCGCTTTGAAATCCTTGAGTTTGTTAATCAAAAATTCGTCAAAGTTTTTAAAAAATAGGAAATCGATCATAAAACAAATTTCAAATTTGGTCTTCCACATGCTCATATTCGTTGGAGGATTACGTTATTCAAAATTCGATGACTCTATGTACCGTTGTTTTATCACAATACGAGAAATATACATACATTTATGCAGATTTTTCATTATTTAATTTCTTCAAATATAATGCAGGACTCTAACATTTTGTGGCAACAGTTTGAAAAGTGAACCGACATTTATGAGTCCGACGCAAAATGCCAAAACGAAACTAATAGTCCTTCGGGATTCAAATCCCTTTGGACTAATTATGATCTAAAGGGTATCAAAATTAAAAAAAAAAAAAAAAAAAAAGCTTAATATTTATATGTTTACTTTATTAAACATTTCTTTCAATGTAAGTTGTTTAAGTTGCTTCGTTTTATGGGCTAATACTTTCTCTTTAATTCTATAAACAGAAATAATTTCTTGTTCAGTTCCACTGCTCAAGTCCTGTAATTGCTGTGCCGAGAATGCCGCCTAACTTGTCAATCGAAATTTTTTTGTTTTCACTAAACTTTTTGTCACTTTCTTCGTGCCTTTATCCATTTTTTCCAGTAATTTCACTTTTTGTTTGATGGACATCGAAACATGCTTTCGCTTTGTAGATCCTTTAGAAGCTCCAGAATCGGAAACTCTTTTTGACGTAATCGAAAGTCCAAGCTTACTTTTTATAAAACTGCTCTAACAGTTTGCAAAAAATAATAAGCCGGATCCAATTAAAAGATTAAGGAACAACGCAATCCGCAACATTAACTGAATTAGATAATTTTAGCCTGGCTTATACCGTCCGTTATACATTAAATGAGCATGCGTAAACGTATTATGCACATGTGTAAACACATGCACATGCGTAAAGGTATTATACGGATGCACAGAAAGTTTGTAACTTTGAGGTCCGGATTTAAGTCTTTGTATTGTACTATTTACCTCTAGGCAGTGTATTATTGTCTAGTTAGTAATGAAATGTACTGTTGTCATTTCATCTGTAAATGTATGTAAAGTATATTTAAGCTGAAAGACTGTAATTGAATGTTAGGTAGGTATGATATATCTGTTGAACAAACATTTTATCTTGTTGCAGTGCACTTTTAATAAATGAAAGACTTATTACTTTGAGATAATGATAGATAATAACCCTTAGTGGGAAATTACTCATGGTAATAATACAGTTTTATGCATCCATGTATTTTTCATCTGCATAATGAATGCAGTTTTATTGGGTTTTAGTGAAAGTTTTCCACCATTGCAAATATCTTGTGTAGAAATATCGTGTGTACAGTTTGTGTTGATATGTTTAATCATACTTTGTCAAACAATTTTTGGCATTTGAAAGAAAAAGCTTTGCTTTAGGACAATGTTGTAAGATTTGTAAAAAAATGTCATTATCATTAAGTACAAGGTGTCTGAAATGGATCATACTACCAGATTAGAACCATCATTTACTTCCAGTTCTGTTGCATTAAGTCAGCTACATGATGTCGTCAAATCGTGTATAGAGTTAGGTACCAATGTTGTATCATATAAGTGAAAGTTTAATACAGAAAGTTCAAAAACAATTACTGTGACACTCGAGAAGCACGGTGCTCTGGCTGCCCTACTAATGTTGATGAGGCCTACCTAAGAAGATCAGCATGCAATCGCTCAATAGCTTGCTAAGGAGTTAGCCATTAGTGCCATGTCCATTAGTCGCATTATGCATCGCAAACTTGACATTCAGTCACTGGATGCCTCATGAGCTGACTCAAGCAGAATTAGGACAGTCGTTGTTCGGGCCTGCACTAATCTGTCAAAATATCAATGGAAGGACAAAATTCTGGACCAAATTGTCACTTGTTATGAAAAATGAATTTACGTCAAACATATAGGCTGAAAAGGAGGTTGGTCTGTGGCTGATGAGCCCGTTGGCATCGTTGCAAAACACAATTTAACTAACAAAACGATCATGCTCTGTATTTGTTGGGATGTCTCGGTATTATCTACAGAGAGTGTCTGAAGAAGGTGAAACCCTCAACAGTAAGGTGTATAAAGAGATGCTAGTCCATATTGACGTTGCCATCAAGGAAAAACGTTGAACTGAATTCTGGCACAAAAAAGTAATGTTCAACAAGATAATGCAAGGCCGTATGTGTCTGCATTCACTGGCTAGACTCTGTACGGACTCGAATGGGATCTTGCACCCACCATATAGACCCGACATTGCTCTTTTAGAATTTTACCTTTTTTGCAGCTACATCTTAGTGGTGCTATCTTGCATTCTATAAGAGACATCCGAAATGAAGTTGATCTGTTTTTGGACTCACTGCCACAAAGTTTCTGGGCCGAAGGCTTTGGAAAACTACCAAACACTGGCAGAAAGGTGGTGATAAGTACCCACTCTAAAGGCCCTGCTTTCATGTTTTCTTTTTATTCAAATTTTATTAAGAACTTTTTTTTTTTTTTGGCTTAAACTTTTGTTATAACCAGATATTAATGAGCTCTGTTGCAATGGTTTTTCTTTGCAAAAGAGTATCTCAAGTGTCTGCTGATATTTCTCTATTTTTTTTTCCTTAGGTTATTTATAATTATTTCTTTTTTTAGATCTGCAAATATTTCCTGGATGCTTTAGAAAATAACAAATATGGTTGGTTCTGGGAATGCCCAAATGGAGCTAATAAATGCCACTACAGGCATGCCTTACCACCTGGTTTTGTTTTAAAAAAAGATAAAAAGAAGGAAGAAAAGTCTGAGCAAATATCTATTGAAGATTTAGTAGAAAAACAGGTTTAATCTTTTTTCTGCATTACTGTATTTATGTTTTGATTACTTTTAGTAAATTAATTTTGAAAATCTGCTTTTTATACAAAATTGGTTTAAAAAAATCTTTTCCTTATATTCTAGAGAGCTCAATTAGGTACCAATTTAACTCGAATTACATATGAAACATTTCAACTGTGGAAAAAGAAAAAGGTAACAAAAATTCTTATAAGTGTTTTTCTCTTTTTAGTTCTATAAGTGTTTAATCATTATCAGCTTCTTAATTTAAAATTATTTGTATTTAGCTAAAAGAAAAGCAAGAGAAGAATAGAAAGGAGGAAGATAGGAAAAGAGCTGAGTTTAAAGCTGGTCGTCATGTTGGGGTATTTACTTCTTATATAACATTTTCACAGAATTCTTAAATCTATAGTTGTTGTAACTCATTTCATCTTTGAATAACCTTTGAATATGTTTTATGAGTACTTTTACTACTATGAATTCTGCAGGTTTTATTTAATTACTAGCGGGCAAGCTCGCTATTCATTGTTCGTGTGTATAAGAGTTCCTAATGTAATTTCGCGGGTATTGGAAATTTGAAACAAACTGCCAGTGTCCAGCGGTTTCGCGCTGTCTGCGCCCGCTTTATTAAAGTTTGCATCCAGAATATACTGCATACACGATACACATGCGTAAAATCACGAAAACACCCATGCAGCCAGCCCGCAAATTTTCGGGATTCGAAAGTTGGAACGAACTAACAGTGTCCAGCGGTTACCACTCGTGCAGCCAGCCTGCTCGCCGGGACTCGTAAGTTGGACCGAACTACCAGTGTTTAGCTTTCTTGCGCGGGCTGCGCCTGCTTCATTCACTTATGCATACAGAAGACATTGCATACATGATACACATGCGTAAAATCACAAAAACACCCATGTAGCCTGCCTGCTTGCCGGGATTTGAAAGTTGGACTGAACTACCAGTGTTCATCGATTCTGGGCGGGATGTGCCCGCTTTATGCACATATGTATCCAGAAGACACTGCATACACGATACACATGCGGAAAATCATGAAACACCCATGCAACAGCCTGCTCGCCGGGACTCGTAAGCTGGGAGCGAACTACCAGTGTTCAGCTTTCTTTGTGCGGGCTGCGCCCGCTTTTCATTTTATGTATCTAGAAGACACTGCATACACGATACAGATGTGTAAAATCACAAAAACAGCCGTGTAACCTGCCTGCTCGCTGGGATTCGAAAGTTGGACCGAACTACCAGTGTTCAGCGGTTTTTAGCGGGCTGTGCCCTCTTTATTCATGTATGCATCCAGAAGATACTGAATATACTGTATACATGCGGAAAATCACGAAAGCACCCATGCAGCTAGCCCGTTTGCCGGGATTCAAAAGTTGGACCGAACTACCAGTGACTTTGACGCCTGCTTTATTCACTTATGCATACAGAAGACATTGCATACACATGCGTAAAATCACAAAAACACCCGTGTAGCCCGCCTGCTCGCTGAGATTCAAAAGTTGGACCGAACTACCAGTGTTCATCAGTTTTGTGCGGAAGAAACTGCTTCCACGATTCACATATGGAAAATCATGAAAACATCCATGCAACCAGCCTGCTCGCCGGTACTCATAAGTTGGAGCGAACTACCAGTGTTCAGCTTTCTTGCGCGGGCTGCGCCTGCTTTATTCATTTATGCTTCTAGAAGACACTGCATACACGATACAGATGTGTAAAATCACAAAAAAACCCGTGTAACCTGCCTGCTCGCCGGGATTCGAAAGTTGGACTGAACTACCAGTGTTTAGTGGGCTGCGCCCTCTTTATTCATGTATGCATCCAGAAGATACTGAATATACTGTATACATGCGGAAAATCACGAAAGCACACATGCAGCCAGCCCGTTGCCGGGGATTCGAAAGTTTGGACCGAACTACCAGTGTTCAGTGACTTTTACGGTGCCGCTAATGGGCCGTTGTAGAAAGAGTAATCGCGAAAATTTACGAGTTTGTTATTCAAACAATAGATTCGTTATTAAAATTCCTTTTTTTTTATAAACTTCAACATAATCACACACAAAAATTGTATCAATATATATATATTAATGCGATTAATAATTCATAATTATTTATAATAAGAAAAGATATGAGGTGACGAGGGACACACATAAAAAAAAAAAATTGCTTTACCAAATCTAAAAAAAAAAAAAAGTGTGAATTTAATTTTTATTGGTGCGAACTTATTTAAAATATCATTTGCATTAAAAGATAATATCTAAATTAAGTGCACGTATCTAATAACATAAAAAAAATATATTATTCCAAAAAATCAAATTTATTATTAAAAAATAACAACATATTTTAAAAAAAATAGCTTTTTCAGATTTTTTAATTAATATCCCAGCTGATTAAAGTTGTACAACTTCAAGAACGTCATTTAAATTTAATGTAATATAATAACTTTTATTCAATATCAATAAAAGAATTAACGTGACAATCATCCTAACCTGAAATTAAAAAAAAATTGTGAAAAGCAGCTGTTTATTTAAAATGCCTACATTAACGAAATATTTTAAAATACAGTTAGGTAACATGCAATCGCGTGCTTTATTCAACTTTAGAATATAACCTTGATTTGTATCTGCGGCGATTCAAGAAACTGTTGCAATCGGAAAAATGAGCCCGAAAATTAGCGTTTTCACAGTTTTTAATTAATATCTCAGCTGATTAACGTCCTACGAAGATGAGAATGGTATCATTGGATTCGTAGAATTTTTTGGAATCCGCAGACACCTGCCTCGAAATCCAACTCAGCGCCGTTCCATAGATATTTGAAAAAAAAAAAGAAATTGACGCGTGACCTTTCGCCAGCACAAATCTCGAGCGGAAGCAATTGTCATCCCCCCGGCGCTTTCGAAAAAGCAATTTTATCTCAGCTAATTCCGAGACGGTTGCCACTCCGAAAAATGAAATAACGTTTTCGCAGTTTTTAATTAATAACTCCGCCGATTATTGTCGTACGAAGATGGGACCGGTATCGATGGATTCGTTGATTTTTTTTCGAATACGGGGATATGCGTTTCGAATCGCAACTCGGAGCCGTTCCGCAGATATTCGAGAAAAACGAATTTGGCACTCGGCCAAATCCCTAAAATAGGGGAAACCCGTGAAAGAAAGTGCAAAACGTAGGGAGAAAATCAGTTTTTAATTAATATCTCGGCTAATTAAAGTCGCACGAAGATGCCGATGGTCAATATCCGGCGAGCCACGGGCATTCTGAATCCAACGGTACCTTCCGCTAAGCTCTACACCCAGCCGTTCCCGAGGAGATGATGTTACAAACACACAAACAGACAGAGGCACACAGATTTTAATTTAGTCTAATGTTTTTATTCAAATTAAAAATTGAATAGAGACATATATAATAACTTGTAATACCTATACCAATAATATAAAATCAGAAATGTTTCTTTCTCGTGCATAGACGATTTAGACTAGTGATTATACTTTTTGTAACACAGAGTCTAAGAAAGGATGTAAAATACCCTTTTATTTAATTCAAATAAAAGTTAACAGAAGGTGTTACTAATGTTTACCACTCAGCCAGCATTTATGACTCAAATAAAAAATAATGAATTTGACTTATCTAAGTAAATGTAAGTTAGCTCAATGACTACACAGGCAGAGAATGCACAAATTGGCTCAGACCTAAAGTCGGCATGACAAGCCTGATGGGAAGAATAACCGAACACTGCAGAATAATGCTTTCAACAGAATCAATTAGCAACATGGCCTTCAGCAGGTGGAACATGCTTTAATTCTATCCTTTAAAACCTACCTTTAAATACTATCTCCTGTCTACCTCATTTGAATACAAGTGAGCTGGAAATTTACATTCAGGCAGGAAAATGGGAAACGAAAAAGACAGTAAAACGCATTAACATAAAATAAGTGATTAGTTAAACTAAATGAATCCTTACAGTATAATTAAGTTTAAATAAGTATACAAAAACATTAATTTGGTCAGCTGCACATTTATGAAACATACTACCGAAACTTACGATTTGTTTTATGCAACTTATTCTTGAATTGCTCTTTCAAAGTAGCCGCAGTATTCCTGATGGTAAGTAGTTAGCAAAGGCTGACCATGCAAGCTGTTGGTCTGGATTCAAATCCTGGGTAAAGCTTAGATGTTTGTGGCCTTAATCTCGGTGCAAAATGGAATCATTTGAAATTTATTGATCTAACAAAGATTTTTGTCTTTGTTAGGTCCATAGATAAAGAGAAAAGAGGTGCAAGTGTACTTTTAGTAAAATTAATACGGAACCTTATTTACTTTTCCTTTATTAAAAAGTCAATCAAATAAAATCATCATGTTGGGGTCCTCATAATGCTATGGAGAAAGCTTAGTCATGCAACGTACTCATGTAGTTATAATTGATGTATATGTTGTTTTAATCTCTGCAGTTTACCACAGTCCAATGAAATTTAAAAATTAGTGGTATAAATATTTTGCATATGTACCAGATGAAAACCTGTGTAATGTGTTGAAATATAACAGTTTAAACCTTTTGAAGTCCTACCCTCCCATGACAGTCTGGACTTCAGCAAAAGTTGGTAGCAAGATGAAGCTGTTCAAAAATAGGCATCTAATTGAAAGGAAATGTTTCCGTGTATTTGCCATTTATTATCAGTTATTACTCACAATTCATGAAAATTATATTAACTCTTACAAAGGAATTTTTGGTAAACTGAGCCTGTATTCTTGGACAACATCTCAAAAACTAAACAGTGAATAGCTTCTGTAAATTGTTTATATTTTTAATACACAGTCCAATCACATTAATGTGCCCACCTGTTAAAAGCCAGAATAATCAAATTTCATAGAGCGGACAGCTGCGAGACGTGCAGGAAAAGAGTCAATTAGGTTCTTGAAGGTGTTCCACTGGGATGCTGAGCCCTGCCGAATCCAGTGCAGTTGTCAGCTGCGCTAGATTTTCCGTTGAGGGTCCATGGCGCGAACAACCCAACCGAAGTGGTCTTAATGATTCTTGACTGGGTTTAAATCCGGGGAGTTTGTTGATCGGAGGAGTATGGTAAACTCATTCTGGTGCTCTGCGAACCACGCACGTACACTGCAAGCTGTATAACACTTAATATTCTCCTGCTAGTAGATGCCATCATTCTGTGGAAAAAGAATTCGCATGTAGTTGTGGACATCGTCCGCAAGGACACATACATATTTCTGTTGATACATCGTGCCTTCCACAATGATGAGAGACACACAATCCCAGAGAATGCCACGAAAGCTTTCCCCAAACTATAATGTTCCCTCCTGCAGGTTGGACAATTCCGGAAGTTGCGTGCTTTCCGACGTTTCACCCCGTATGCACCAATGTCCATCTGTCCAATGGAATATAAAACGTGATTCATCGGAAAAAGCCACCTGTCACCACTCCGTGGACGCCCAGTTGCAGGACCGGCGTGCAAATTCCAGCCTTTGTCGCCGTTGAACTGCCATCAGCATAGGTGCTTTAACCACGCGGTCTGTTGCCCAAACCCATACACGGTAACGGTAACATTCGATAAATCGTTGTTGAGGAGAAAACCATTGGTAGCCCCTTGGTTCATCTGGGCGGCGTCAGTTGCTCAACGCTTGCACATCTATGCACTAGAACGCATCTCCGCAGCCGTCGTTCACCTCTGTCAAATATGGCCGTGGTGCACCACGTAATCACGTCGCTTATTTTGGATACTGCCATTTTGCTATCCACGTTGTACTTTTACCACGACGGCATGCGAACAGTTTATAAAATTAGCACAGTTTCGGAAATGCTTCCACCCTTAGCCAGAAAACCAATGATCATGCCTATTTGGACGTCAGATAAATCGTTCCGTTTCTGCATTTACACCAATGGCTGCAATGTTTTTTTATTCTCTCGGACACCCTTTATATATGCTCCACTGCATAGTGCTGCCACCTGCCTTCTGTGGTTGGTCATTTCACGTTGACATCGAAAGTAGGTGGTGGTCATATTAATGTGACTGGACTGTGTAATTTGGTGATTCTAAAAGCCTTTAAAAATACTTACCAAATGGGAATAAGTCTTTAATATTTGTAAAGCATCCATATCTATGACTTCTCAAACTGGAAATTTTTATTACGTTTTTACAGCTGTTAACCAAATTAATTAGAATGCTTGGAATTATGGACAGTCTGTTAATTTCAGATTTTATTTTTTACATTAGTATATCAATAAACATCTTAATTTTTTGATAATGTAATTAATATTTAAATTGACTCAATATATTTTATCATAAAATTTTAAAAAATCTGATCTTTTATAATACTATTTTTTAGAAATATATGATGTGATGTATTGTGATTTATGAAATTCAGTTACTTAATATACTTGTATTTTAACAAGAGTTATTGTTTAAAATAGCTTAGTGGACGAGATATGTTTACATTTAATCCTGATATGGCTACTGATGATCAGACAGAAGAAGGAGAAGCTGCATTTGATATGAAAACTAGGGAAGAAGAAGAAGTATGAGTTTTATATTTCATATTCCTTTTTTTATGCTTCCTCATCCTCTAATTTAAATAATATTATTTGCATCATTCCACATTTTATTAATTTCATCATGTGTTCTTATTTAAGATATTAATTTTTATTGTTAAGACTTTTCCAGCAATTATTGTAAAGTAAGCCTAATATATTCTGCATATATTAAGACTTCTGAAATTTGGTAGTTCATACTGAACTAAGTGTCCTGCATAGGCTGGCTATATGAATTTTTCATGATTTTTCTCATGAATATGAACCAGTTTCAGATAGAAAGCTCTTTAGGAAAGATCCTTTTCTCTGAGCAGATTGTTGTTGTGTGTTTTGCCGTAATGAGTTAACTTATTTACCAACTATTACAAAGTAGTTTGACCTTGAGACAAGTCTTCTGATTTTTGAAATTGGCATCAGAAAAAGTTCAACCCAACTCTACTGAATTGTTCAAACTGTGAGTTAAATTTAGTAGTGCATAATTTACAGCCATGGACAGTTTGCATTAAATATTATGTAAAATAATTTTAGCAGCAACAGATAATAAGTTTTAAATTTTCTTTCAATGTTTGATATAATTTAATAATTTAAATAAATTGGTAACTCAGTATATGTCATTAATCTATTCCAGGTCCTTGTATGTTTACCAAACTAATCCAATGTGAAATAAAGAGAAAATAATTAATCCATTCTCATAAAAAAATCCTGTAGTTGTTAAAATAACACTCTTTAGTACTAAAATACAAATGCAATGTGTGAAATATATACTATACATAAATGAAACAATGCACACGAATACTGTATATAAATGTTTTTCTGCTATCCAGATCAAAAGCAGTTTTTTGTGATACTGTGGCATTTTCAGTCTTTGCTTGGTAATCAGTTTCATTCCCCTTGAAACATTAGCCAATAACATTTTTCCATAATTTTAGACACCATTGTAATCAGCATATAGTATGCAGTAGCTAAGTCTCAGATATGCATGTCATTTTCATACTTTACAGCAATCTCTTTTTTTTTTCGCACTTCCATGAGGATCCTAAAAGTTTTCTTTATTGGTTGACTGTTCTCGTTAGATTTTCTAAAACTCACTTTTAATGAATTTACAAAAATTTTATATAAAAAAACAAAATCACTTGAAAATTCAGAGTTGGTTTAGAGCATGGGTTGTTTGCTGAATAGTAGCAACACATGTACTGATGTTCATGAGCAGTCCTAATGGTCTCTTGAAAGAGATAAACATGTGTAGTATATGCAATTGTGACTTATTGAACTCCTGTTGTATTTCAAGCAACTATCATATACTAAACAAAAATTTTCACATCCAAACAAGTTGGATGTATTTCAAAGCGAATGTATACCGAGGTACCACTGTAATCATTTTCGAATTTAGCAATTCAAATACAGCTGCTATTCAGTATTGACTCATTGAACCTGAGTTGTATTCGAGATAAATATTATACATCAAACAAAAATGAAATACATCCAAACAAGTTGAATGAATTTCAAAGCGAATGTATAGTTAAGTACTACTGCAATCATTTTCGAATTTAACATTTTAAATCCAATTTGAGCAATTAATGTGGATATTTTCATCATTCATTATGGTAATGAGTTAAAATGTTAATATACTTTATTGATCATGATGCAGTCATACATATAAGACAATGCAAAATTTGTGAAATGATCATGCATATAAGATGACTCACACATGTGAGCCTGATATGTTGCAGATGTTAAGAGAAACATATTAAAAAAGAGGTAATTAAAATAGTCCTAATTGTCATATTTACCGATATAGTTCCATTTAATGTTAAGAAATATGTGATTAATTATCTTAATGATTGCTTAAATGTCCTTAATTTTCAAAAGGACATTTAAGCAAACATTCTTGTATGTTGAGATTAATGCTGATGCTGTATAATACGAGGGCTATCCAGAAAGTAGATTACGTTTTGGAATAAAAAAATAAACAAAGTATAGGAAACAAATTTTATTATATACAGATGAAAAGCCACACTCAAATACTACTTTTCTACATAGTCACCATACAAATTAAGGCATTTATCGTAGCGATGTACGAGCTTGGAAATTCCTTCGTCGAAAAAATTCGGGCCGGCCGCCTGCCGCCTTCAACCACTTCGTTACCTCTTCTTGCAGCTGCTGTGCGTCGTCATCAAAACGCTGCATAGCCAGCCACTTCTTCATTGCTGGGAATAGGTGGAAGTCGCTCGGTGCCAGGTCGGGACTGTACGGCGGATGAGGAAACAACTCCCACTTAAAAGATTCAAGAACTTTACGAGTGACATTTGCCGTTGGGGCCGTGTGGGGGCGGGCGTTGTCGTGAATCAACAAGATCTTAGAGCTCAACATTCCTCTGCGCTTGTTTTGAATTGCTCTTCTGAGTTTTTGGAGAGTTTGGCAATACCTTTGAGAGTTTATTGTACTCGTAGTGCCTCTTTCCAGGAAGTCCACCAAAATTACACCTTTTCTGTCCCAAAAAAACAGTCGCCATCATCTTCCTTGCCGACATTGTTTGCATGCATTTCTTGGGTTTTTGGGGAGAACTTGTGTGCCCCCACTGCATTGATTGCAATTTCGTTTCACAGTTCACACATGTTTCACCCATGTTTCGTCACCAGTAACGATGCGATCGAGTAAAGAGTCACCATCCTTATGGTAAGCGTCCAAAAAGTTCAACGCTGCAGCCATTCGCTGATTTTTGCGGTCCTCTGTCAAGATTTTTGGAATCCATCTTGCACAAAACTTGTGGTAACCAAGCTTTTCGCTGATGATTTCGTGCAACAAACTTCGCGAAATTTGTGGAAAACTCAAAGAAAGTTCCGTTATTGTGAAATTTCGATTTTCACGGACTTTAGCATCGACTTTTTCGAGAAGTTCGGCGGTCACTATGCTGGGTCTCCCACTTCGATCTTCGTCGTGAACATTGGTTCGGCCATTTTGAAATCTTATGACCCACTGACGCACTCCACCTTCAGTGGATAATGTTGTCCCCATACACTTCACGAAGCTGCCGATAGATTTCTATCGGTTTACAGTTTTTTGCAGTCAGAAACCTTATTACTGAGCGCAGCTCGCGGGATTTTCAATTAACGCAGACATTTCAAACCGTCACAGTATCTGAACGGAGCACAGCACGAACCTCTCACTAGCACGGCTAGATGCAGACTGAGCTGCGCAACGCTCTGACCCCAAGATGGCCGCGCTAGCCCCGCCCCTAGCGGACACAGACGGAAACGTAATCTACTTCCTGGATGGCCCTCGTACTATCTAAAGATGTCTATCTAAAGTCTATCTAAAGATGCTCTACTTTGGTTAAAACATTTGCAGAAAAGTAATGACTAAATTCTTTTCTTATTAGTGGGTGTTAGCTTAATGTTTATTGAATATAAAAACCTATCATCCAGAACAGTACAAGTGTTCAGGTTTAACAGAAGCATCTTTCCGCAATTCAGCACATTATTGTTTTTTGAGCAAAGGGCAGAACCATTAAAGATTAAATATGACATAGGGCCACCTCAGATGTCATTTGTGCGGGAATACAGTTTGATTTGGATGCCTACACACAGCACATATAAACATCTAATACTCTCCTCAGGAATATTTCACTAGATCTGGTTTAATCATGTATTGGGGTCAGATACATTTTGCGATGGCTGGAGCCATGTATAACCGCATTGCAAATATGTTCATTGGGTGAGAAGTTGGGCAACTGAGATGTCCATGATGTTACAGAGAAAGTGTATAGCAATGTGTGTTGCATGCAGATGGGCATTTTAAGGTTAAAAAATAATCCTGGCAGCATGGGTACTACAATGGGGGGGGCAGGATTGTTGACATAACAGTGGCAAGTTATAGCTACGATTAGGATGACTAAAGGGTGTGGAGGTATTATACGCAACAGCACCTCACATGGTAATGACAGGCATGATAGAAGTTTGCTGCACCCCAAAAAGCTATGAGATGAGGTAGCATTGGCTTGGTCACCTCTACATATAGATGCAGTAGTCATTGAAGCCAAAGCAATGCAACTCCAGTCTGTTTTGTTCCACCCAGCATTGCCACAGCATACATTGTTGGTCATAAACTAATTTTTGTGGTAGAAGTTGCAAGGGATACCAGCAGTGCTGTTATCATTCAAAGATTCTAGACATCAAGTATCCCAGAGAGGGGTAGGTTCCCTGAACGAGGGCAGTATGTACATTTGCTCAGTTTGTGTGTTGAGTTGTACTCTCCAGCTAGCCATTGCCCTCCACTTGTTGGTGAATGTTAATTGGAATCTCTACTAACATTTTCATCTCACTGTTTCGTTACTCTATACTTCTCAGAAGGTTGTGGTTTCTGGAACTAGCTAATTTGCATATGCTCATTGGGCAGATCTCTGAGGTATTTTTCTTGGCCACGGCCAGCAGTATTACCATGGAAACTAGTCCCAATTTACATAGTGAATTAGTGCTGGACTTTTGTATCTGCTTGCTTAGTCCATTATGGTACTTCTGTATAAGGTCTTTGTGGGTTTAGTGACTTACGTAGCTGGAGTTGTAGTATTTGTATATCAAATGTAGTTATGCATTTCATTGCCCTTTTTGAGTTATATTTCTTCCTTCAATATATTTAATAAGAAATTAAGATAGTTAAGAACTCCAGCTATCACTTAGTCAATAATTTTGTTATTTTCCCATTTAACTTCTTATCTTTTCATTTAAATTATTCTTTTTATAATAATATATGTACATTTTAAAGTCATATATATATTTTTTCATTTTTATAGAATGTTCCATGCTTAGAAATATCATCTGAATTTTTGAATACTGAATTAAAAGGTGTAGATGGTGGAACTGTTGCATCGGTTAGACATTGGGAAAATACTCAAGGTCTGTATAGTATTACTTACAAATATTTTAATTTCAGAAATTTCTGAACTGTGAAGTGCATATTATTCAGAATATAATTGTATACTTTGATATGTGTGCTCTTATATTATTTAAGAATATTTCTAAAAGATTTGTTTTGTATTTTTGTGACTTTCTTATCTTTAAGTCACATACTTTAATAATTTGTTATTGATTATTGTTCTATAATGATCTCATGTGTGAAAGCTAGATCATTAAGTTCAAAGTTAAATATCTAATTGAAATTTCCATCATAGCAGTCTTTTTTTTTTTTAATCTCTCATAAATTTGGTATTGCGTATGGATCATATTTGTTTAAGATATATTTAGCTAGCTTAAAAAAATACCTTTTAGCCCAAAAGACGATAGCTCAGAAGGGCTATTAATTTCGTTTTGGCGTTTTACATTGAAACTTTAAATATCCGTTTGATTTTTTATATTATTGCCACCAAATATTATCGCCCTGTGTCATGTTTAAAGAAATTAAATAATGAATAATCTGCATAAATGTATGTGTGTTTCTTGCATTGCGATAAAACAACGATACCTGAAACCATCAAATTTTGAATAACAGAATCCTGCACTGAATATGGGCATCTGGAAGCCTGAATTTGGAATTTCTTTTATTATCGATTTCATATTTTGTAACACTTTAATAAATTTTTTATTAGCAGATCCAACGATTTCAAAACGAGCAGTGGCAATACTGTACAAAAAAAGTATTTTTATCTCCAGTGTGCGAGACTGTGTATTGGAAATTTAAAAAATTTGCTCTTTTAAAATTATTTTGTGATATTGCTGTTGAATTGAATTTCATGGTTTAAATGCGAAGAACATGATATTTAATAAATAAAAATAAAACACAAAACGTTAAAAAGGCCTTTTGGGGCATAATATAAAATATGAAAAACTTTCAGATTTTTTAATTTATTAACCATTCTTTTCCTCCATCGGTTTTATACGATAGTCAAATATTGATATAATTTTAGAGATACCAAGTGAAGTCCATGAATCTGTGATTTCAAGAGATTGGGGGGTGGGAATGAAGTCTTTGCACAAGTTATTTAGCTATTTTAGTTTATATTTATTACAGTCACAATTTTAATTTAATAGCTGCAACCGAATTCTATTAAAATTAGGCATCGAAGAAACTTTAGACCATGGTTCTTTTTTTAATTTATTACAGTTAATAAATTTTAAACAGTTCTCAAATTAACAAAAATTTATATAATCCATCTAATATAAAGCATTAAAAATCAAATTAAATGGTCTACAAATTAGAAAGTTAGTACTTACTATGGTTCTTGCGCTGATTAAGTCTTCATTTTCTATTTGTTAACTGAATATAAATTTAGGATTTAATTAAAATATGAATTATTTCTACAGCAGACCTTTACAATGATGCCCAATTAAAACAGAACAATTGGGAAGGGGCAGTCTGGTCTGGAACAATTGGTCTGTCCTAAGCAGAAGGAATAATGATGGACTATATAATTCAGGCTTTTTTTTTTTTTTTTTGATAGAGAAATTTATGTAACGAAATTGTTTAAAAAGCAAGCATTAAATCTTAAGGTATCCTGCAATAAACCTCCTAGACAAAGCATTCTGAGAAATTAATGTATTTCAATTGTTTGGAATTTGTTTGCAATTATTTAAATAGATGTCCTCAAAGCATGCCTTGCTGCCATTGCTCAAGCTGTCAGTGCTAGGGTGCTGCAGTGACAGTTTTCTTTCTGCATGTTAAAAGATATCCAGGTTTCGAGTTCAATCGAAACCAGTTTTTTGTTAAATATTATATAACATAAAATTCATTCAGACTTTTATTTTCCTTAACATTAGTGGATTTAGTTCAGTTCGTTTTCTCGAACATAATATTCATAAGCACATTTTATGCATAAATAGTTTTCTGTTAAAACTGAAAGAATCCCCTATATCTGTATTGATTTAAAGCAGGCAATTTATCGTAATAAGTATAAAATATTTTGTAAGACATTACATGTGTTTGCATTATTATATTGATATAAAATTTATATATACTGAACATATATTTTTATGAATCTCCAATTTACAAATTGCTCCTTTTAAAGCTATTGCATTGGTCCAATAAATCTGTTAATTTCTGCTGTGATTAATAAACTACAGTTGCACATTCGTTTATAAGCCAAAGTTCTTTTTTTTTTTTAAATGAATGTTGGAAATTTGAACAAGAAAAAATTAAATCTCTAGGAAACCTTGGATATGAAAATTTGTAAGCAATTAAATCTTTCAAAGAGGTGAGAGAGGACAGCGATTTGCCTTCACAGATGAAATTTGCAACACATTTTATAAGCACTAATTGGCTTGCAGGAAAGGAAAGGAGTAGTTGCAAAGGAACTTATTTCTTCTAATAAAATATTCCATTAGTAGATTATCTTGTGGGCATAGAATTTATTGGCATTTGTACAGTAAAGCAACTGTCTTCATTTGCCCCCAAAACTTTAAAATGTGTATTTTTTGTCTTTCTGCTAAGTAATTTTTAGTTTCTTAGCTATGTCTAATGTAAAGAAGAGAATGTGTTTGTACAGAAGCTGTGTAACAGAACACATCGCTAGGAAAACCTTTGACAACTATAATAGAAGCACTAGACTGAAAAGGTCATCTCCTGTGCAATTTGACAAAGATATTAGAGCAGTTCTTGGCCTCGATCACAGCAAATTTTCCATCTTCCAAGAGCCATCATTTCTTTCCAAGCTTCATATGAATTCTAAAATAATACTCAACTTAAATCCATGCAATAAAAAAATTGATTGATATCATTAAACTGAAAGGGATCAGCACTGTTGAACAGTATCCAAAAAAGGACTTGTATATGCTTATACAGATGGTTCATCTGATGAGATAATTGCTAATGAAAGGAGGTACTGGAGTATTTCTGACTACCTCACTTTTTAACACAAAATTGGGATTGGAGCCATAGTCTTTAACTTCACTTGCAATTTTTTGGCAGTAGCAGAGGCACTTTATGTGTATAGATCCCTTTCCATTTCTGAGCAAGCAAAAGGATTTATTGTCTTCTGTGACTCAAGGGCTGCTCTACAGGCAATCCCAGATGGAAGTTACCTGATCACAATAGGATACACTTTTGCCTAAAAGAACTTCAAAAGTTAGATAAGGTCTTATGGTCTTCAATGGCTGAGAGCTCATGTCAACATCATAACGAGAATGCAGATAAACTGGCAAAAGATACTCGAAATCTCAATAATAATAGTAACATAAATGAATGCAAATGCCATAGCTAAATGCAGATTGATGGAGCTTTCAATTCCAGTAAAGCACCAGCTTCATAACATCAATGGAGGTTGACTTATAATTAAAACCATAGTCAGAACCATAGAACTGTCCATCGCAGAGGATTGAAAATTGACAGAGAGGGTAGGAAAACCTACAGGAACTGTAATAACTGCTCGAACACAGAACTGACAACTGCACACATTTTTGATTGTCTGGTCATCCTTGCTGAATTGTTAAAAATTGGGGATCTTGTTTAACCCGTTCACGATGGGCATCTCTGTTACCGAAGCGTTGTCTTTGGATGGTATGTTAACCAGATGTTTCGTCTTGTGGGGACGGGGAATATGTGCTGCTAAGCCTGACTTTGGAAAAAAATTCGTATAAATTAAATTTTTCGTCCAATTTTTGGTACATTATGAGAAGAACATTCAGGTAGTTGTCAGAATTAAATTTACAGCTTTATTATTATATTTTCCTTAAAAAATTTATAAATACTCATTCTAGAATAATATAATTTTCCCCTTATCCCACAAATAAATATATATATGGAAAAATATACAAACAATTGTAGATTTTATTTAACACAACACAAAATAAAATATTTTTTTAAACTGTCTTTCATAAAAATTCAACGTGCAAGCAACGAAAAAGAAGCAATATTTCAAAAAAGAGACAGTGTATGATGTTCTTTTAAACATGAGTGTACGCAAAGACCAACATTGCATATGTCACAGGAATAGAATATCTGCTGCTATTTTACTCAGAAAATTTGACTCATTTAGCATTTATGTATGTTGTTCTACCGTCAGATAGTGCTTTCGTTTTGCCATTTAAAAAATAAACCCCCCTTTCGCTAAGCGACGCAAAATGGTCGCCTCAATGCCGGAAAACTCAAAGAGTAATAAAAAAGTCTCTATTGATAGAACATCTACTCTACTATAATGGGATAAAAAAAAATTAATAAATTAAAAAGTATTCCAGATCATCGAGAACATGTTCATTTGTTGATATAAAATGACACAATAAGAGCCATTACATTATTCAACACTAATGAATTAGCATTTGTGTATATTCTACGTTCAGATACTGCTTTCGTTTGCCATTAAAAAAAAATACATTTCGCTGACAATGCAAAATATTCATCTCAATGCCAGAAAAATCTAAGAGTAATATAAAAAAGGAAAAATAAGAGTAATAAAAAAAAAACTCTAATGATAGAACATCTATCCCAGTATATCGCAAAAATAAAAATAAAAATAAAAAGTACCTCAATGCAGCAAGAACACATGCATTTGTGTATATCAAATAATGCAGTTAAAGAGACATTACATTGCTCAACACCCACCCACGAACCTCGCTCTCATTCCGAAACGAAATACCAAAAATAAAAAACATTGCGTAGGAATGTACTTAACTTTTGATATATTTCACCATAACAGACATACAGCTACATATAGCAGCAACAAAAAATGCTAATTAAATGTTCTATTTAAAAAGTCAAATATGGTACACCCAGCCATAGAGTGAATTAAATGGCGATTCAAATATGACACACCCGGCCGTGAGGTAATGTTTGCTGCTGATGCATATATGACATGCCCGTACTGAACAGGTTAAGAGACCGAACCTCTATGATGATAACATTTTGTGGATTGTCAGGGCTGTCATCTTCACCCATGGCACTATTTGAGTATACTTTATTATAGACATGA